TCGGCATAACGTTTATCTTCTGTCGCGATCGTGGAACTGCGAAGAGTTTTCTTCAGGGTAAAATACTAGGAAAAGTGTACTGTAATTTAGAATTTGGATTGACATATAAGGCCTATAAGATTGTTTCTAAAATTGAAACACTGTTAAATACTCTTGAAACAATATTGTCTTATTGGAAATGAAATTTATTTGCTTTCGATACTTTCACAACAAACGATTCATTTATGTCTATATAAACTACTAACTTATTTTAAAAGTCTAAAGTTCCAGTTGACAATGTTTGGTAAAATTTAAGCTTGACTACAATCACGATGAGTTTATGTAGAATGGAATTTGTCACGGTATTTGGTTCGTTCATGTCTTATAAACTATTAATATATCAAGAAAGACTGAAGTCTCAATTGACAAGGTTTTAGTAAAATTTACAGTGGGTGTAGAATGTATTCGTACACCGATCAATTTCTCAAAAAACTTTTCTGTGAAATTGTAGTTTCTTAACTTCTTTTTTTATAATCAATGACATTTTACGTATTCTCGGAAGTCTCGGAAGACTCCGAATCTTTATGCAAAATAAAATCTTCGGGAACGTGCCTACAAAAATTCAACCTAAATAGAAATTTATTTTATTCTGGAAATGTTATAACATGAACTTTACTTTCAATCTTTTTTTATATTCTTGCATATTGTTTGCATTTTGTAGTTTCTTGCACATTCAAATTTTCTATAAATGCATAAAGATCCGTAGTCTACTTATGATGAACCATTTACAGTAGAGTTTTGTAATGTAAACACATTAGTTTATTGCTCTGTACGAATTAGAAAACATCAAATTTCCAGGAAAGTACTTTTAAAAATGGCTCTAATAAAGAAATGGAAAAAGACCCCACTTCTTATTAACTTCTAACTAATAATTTAGTTAAGATAATGCTTAGAAAAGTTACAATAATTATAAAATCAAAAGGAAATTCCTACGAGGGAAGTATTATATACATGTAAATTAATGTAAATTTCTTTTTTTTTAATAAAGTTTTAAAAATGAAACAGTTGTGCGAATACTTATTCCTTCAATATTTCTATCGATTAATTGTTTTTTTCTGCAAATTTCGTAACTTATTGTACATAAATAGCTATTTTTTTTATAATCTATGTATTCCAGAGATTTTCGAGAATATGTATTAGGTTGCTCCGAAAGTTTCTTTCGCGAGTTGCACTCAATTATTTTATGTGGTCGTGTTTATATAAATAGACGATCTAATTTCATAGATATTCGTGTTGTAACAGTAATGGAGCAAAATGAATCGTGCACAAATCAGTAATGAAAAGAAACTTTTGGGACAACCTAATACAATGTCATTGTTTATAAAAAATAAGTTAATAAATTACAATTTTACATAGCTTTTTTGGAAATTGACCGGTGTACGAATACTTTTTACGCCTACTGTAATTTTGACTACCACAATGAGTTTATATAAAACGGAATTTGTCACACGCTATTTGATTCGCGGAGACGCATGGAACGAAATAAAGAAAAAGCATAAGGTGTAAACCGGAAGCGGTATGTTACCAGCACTATCTTCCGCGCCATTAGGCTGTCTATATATGCCCAATGCAGGACGATAAAAACTACGCTCCGACAACGATCTATTTAATTGTATGCAAGTATACGTTTCGCAGGTGTACCGCCGACTATCTGCGTCTTTTTATTTCCAAGCTCCGTTCTTTTGTGCGACACGGAACCAATCAACCGTGTGAACCGATCCTCGGCTAATGCGACGAACGAAATTATACTGCCCGCATTTTAAAAACTCATCGTGGGAACGATCGACCTGGTGTTTCAGTTCGAAGACACGTTAAATAATTAATTCTTGACGAATCGAAACAGTTTTGTTGTTAACCTTCTGTTCAAACAGAGGGAGGTTATCAATTCTACTCTTACGTAGGATACAGTACTGTACACAAATTATTTAATTGGGCCACCAATTTAGTGTACTATATGTACGTATAATGAAATTATAAAATATTATTTGAATGATTTAGAAGAGAATGAAACATCAACAGTTATGAGTTGGTCATTTGAATGTCCTGATTTAAATATTATTGAACATGCCTTGGATTATTTGGACAGAGCTCGAAGAAAAACAGAACCAAAAAATGTTAAATAAACTTCATTGAATATCGCACATTGAATTTAGAATAAATAAAATACAAATGTTTGACTTTCTCATCCGTGTAAAAATATTTCATTATTAGCAATAGGTTCCTTCGAGGAGGATGACGAATAAAACAAAAAAATTGAGAACTATTATTTAATCTTATCTTTTTTGAACTGAAAAAAAACAGATTGTATTCGGCATTGCCAAATCAGAAATGGAGCGTACAAACAAAGTATATCAATATCCATCATCGTCGTTTGCAAAAATGTGCAACCTATCCCTAGGATTAATTCCTTATTAGAGACAGATCAAAAAATCTTTTGCCATTTCGTAATCTGGAGCTTCGTTACCTAGATATAAGCAATTTAAGTTCTCTGATACGACACGTGGGCCTCGTGGCACGTGCCATTTATGCGAATCCCAGTTAACCGATCGCGCGACTGCACACACACACACACTCGCGAACAGGAGGAACACGTGCCCATGGGTGGCTCACACTCGTAACAACTTCAACTGCTCGTATCTCGATGAGGAAATCTCGCATTGCAAAATGGAAGAAGACTTCTTGATTTATATTGGCATGCCGAATTGATATCGAAAACAGATATCACGTTTTCGATAACACATTCTATATAATCCATTTAATCGCTAGTCAGATTTATTTAAAAGAATCTGCTCGAGTTTCTTTTATTTAGAATGACCAAAACATCAGTTTGCGAAATATAAAATATTTATTATTATTGGAGAATAGTTTTTTCTTTTAAAGTTAACTTTTAAATATAAACGAGTTCTCAGGATTTTGTTTCTCAATAAAACACAAGGATAAATATATAATAGTACGGTATGCATTCGATTTTTGCATTTTAAATGAAAGAATATGTGATTACAATTAAACGTGAAAGCTAATTACGCTTAAATGTCCACTTGGCGACACTAAAAAGCAAATTTCGACCAGGCTGTCGCCATACGTGGCACATAAAATCAAAAATTGAGCGTAATTGTCGTTGGGACATAAGGGCGGAAATACCTTGTCTCGCGGCTCCGTCCTTTTTGCGATAAAGCGATCCCACTTTGATCTGGGAAAATTGGGACCATAAAATCAACGTTAAACTTGCCAATTACGAGCGAGTCCCGTTTACGAGGAACAGTGAAAAACGGCTGCGTTACAATTTGCCCGAGCTGCTAACGATTGAATTTTTGCGCTGTATCGAGTCGCGAATCTCGAGCAATTTACCGCCGAAAGAATAAATCAGTCTTGACTTTGTAAAGGTGCAACGGGAAGGATGGACGGAGAGAGAAAGGGCGACAGGGCAAGAGGGACGAGTCGATGAAAGATCGGAAACAAGGTGAGACAGAAAAGACGAAAAGGTAAATGCTACATATGTATATCGTGGAGACTCCTCCCCTGAAATCCAGAGAGGCCCAGGTCAATTACCTTCTACAGTGGGTGTAGAAAGTATTCGTACACCGATCAATTTCCAAAAAAAACTATGTAACATTGTAATTTATGAAATTAACTCGCTCGGGTATGTTCGGCTTTTCGTAGTTGCATATTACAAACAATGATTTTCAATCTGTTTTGTTTTCTGAAAATTGAAACATTTTTTTTCATTTTCTTTTTTCATCTGTTCATACGTCTATGGTTTAAATAATAATAAAATTATGCAAGATGACAATCATACATACAAGCAATAACCAAGTTTGCTAATAATGAAAGTTATTACAATTTTAGATTCGATCATTTGTTTCATTTGAAATGATATACAGTGGGTGTAGAAGGTATTCGTATACCGATCAATTTCCAAAAAAAAACTATATGAATCGTAATTTATTAACTTTTTTTTTATAAACAATGATATTCTACATATACTTGGAAATCTCTAGAGTACGAAAAGATTAGGTATTTTGAATAAGTGAGAAATTAACAAGAAAAAACAATAGATCGATAAAAATACAGAAGCAATAAGTATTCGTACAAGTGTTAAAAATTTAAAACTTCGCTTAAAAAAAACGAAATTTACATTAATTTATAAATAATTAATACTTTGTAGGATTTCCTTTTGATTTTATAATTATTGTAACTCTTCTAAGCATTAAATTAACTAAATTATTAGTTATTCGAAATGGGATCTTCTTCAATTCCTCTTTTTGAGCCATTTTTAAATGTACTTTCCTGGGATGTTTTCTAATTCGTACGAAGCAATAAACTAATGTGTTTACGTTACAATCTCTATTGTAAATGGTTCGTCATAAGAATCGTACTAATACTTATTGCTTCTATACTTTTACCCACTTTTCCCATTTTTTTGTTAATTTCACAATTTATATCAACTAGTAAATGTTGTTTGGACTATATCTATCTTAGAGACTTCCGAGAATATGTAAAATATCATTGAGTATAAAAAAAGAAGTTATATAATACGTATAATGTATAAACTATAATTTCACACAAAAGTTTTTTGGGAAATTGATCGGTGTACGAATACATTCTACACCCAATGTATACTACCAACCATTAACCCTTTAACTGCGAGACGATATTTGCTGGAAATTCAAAAATACGTAGAGGTGTGAGTTTTAAAAAAAATATCACCTTATAGAAAATGACAAAACGAAACTTTTTTATACGTACAGTTTGTGTATACAACGTTTAGTTTCGGAGATAAAAATTGAAAACTCAGAAGACCTTTACCCTGAAATTCAATTTTTCCAATGAACTTTTAATTTTTCAATTTTTATTTTTAGAACTAAGCGTTCTATGAATAAACTGTAAATATTAAAAAGTTTCGTCTCAGCGTCCCCTATCAAATTTTTTAAAATTTTAGCTTGGAGTCCCTTCCACTTCTCTTACAGTACATTCTATAAATGATTTACTTAAATTTTACTTTCATTAAGAGATAATTACATTAACACATTGAACAACACATCCTCCACATATGAATAACAGGGATGTTCACTTAGGGATTAAATAAATTAACTATAAGATATAGTATTAAATAAAACAATAATTCCTTACTTGAACAGTTGGTGATTCCGTCGGAGACACGGGAAGAGGATCTTCGGATGTATTTGATTGAACTGTTTGTGACTGTTCTGATTGTTGCTGCGGTTGATGTAATTGTTGCGATTCTGATTGTTGTGATTGTGATAAATGTTTGGTATGTGATGTATTGATTCCATGTCTACGTTTCATGTGTTTATTGTAGTTTGGCCAATTTGTAAAATGATGCTGACATTCTAAACAACTATACGGACGTTCACCCGTATGTTGACTTCTGTGTGTCTAAAATTAAACTTAATAAGTAGAACTATATTATTACTTGTAGAACGCGATAAAAACTATTTAATGAACCTACAGTCAGTATTCCTTTAAAGCGAAAACATTTGCCACAAAATTCGCATGTAAATGGCATTGCTCCAGTGTGTATTCTGTGATGCTCTCTTAATGTACCTTTTTCTCTAAAAGTTCTTCCACAGACAGCACATTGATGTGGTTCAGCTCCAGTGTGAACTGTTTCATGTTTCTTTAATTGCAATGGCGTTTTGAAGCTAAAAATCACATTCATTATTGTAACCTAGATATTGAAATATAAATTATATTATAGTTTTTATAGACATACGCTTTTGAACATCGAGTACAGTTGTATGGTTTATCTGCAGAGTGAGTTAAACAACTAATCTGAATAGGATTGGCAAATTTTAAAGAGGTCACAGAAATAAATACTACCACAAATATTATATTACACCATTTCTAATAGTATACAAAAAGAATTTAGCTTTACAAGAATTTTCGCAATTATTAATCTTGCTGTTAACGTGTTAATCACGTTTGTCTGTCTTTGGAAAAATTGCAAGATTTCTCAAAACCAGTTGAGTCTCGAGTCAAACGGCGCTGCAGGCCCACCCTTTGATAGGGTTGTATATTATGCACTGTATGACGAAGAGTGAGAGACATTGGAAGGAAGAAGGAGAGAAAGGAAGAGGAACACGCGTTGGTGAATCTTTGCGAATGGAAAAGGAACGGAGACGGAATAGTGGACAAATGAAAAAAAGTATCAGGGCATAGGACAGGAGTGAAAGGACGAGAGAAGCTGAAGAAGGAGGAGTAGAGCACGAGCCATGCGGCTCCTGCACCATCTGTTGCATCGTTTCGCTGCTTGTCGAAGACGGTATACGGTACACGGACTTCGTGGAGACACCATATGCTCTCTCTCTACTGCATCGGTACCTACAGCCGTTCCGATGTAGGCATACTTCGCATACGTAATGTCCTACCGGTTTTCTCAATCACACCGTTTCATCATGATTTCCGTGAGCCATGTGCCGTGTGCCACGTACCAACGTGCACCGTGTATACGTCCCGATTTTATTTTTGCCGGTTCCCCGTCAAACCTTTCCGCCTTTGAATTTCTAACGAGCCGATGCGACGCGACAAATTGCTTTACACCGTTTCAACATGTCCAATTGTATTATTAATGTAATTACTATAGGCGCTTACTTTTTGTAGTAGGTACCAAACTACTCCACAAACGACAATTACTTTGCCTAGTTACTAAGGCTCCTTTCCCATAATTAATCTTTTAGTCAATTTAATTTAAAAGAAACTCGAAATCGATTTCTGCAGTGCCTCTAGAGGAAGCAGCTTGTAACAATTTATTTAGGCCATCTTATGCATCATCGTATCGTACATGTCAAACATCGACAAACAACAACGTTACGATTACAAAGTTTTGAATAAATGGTGATGATCTACGAAAGTAAATAAACATGGATATAGAAAGCAAAATCTGTGATTGCAACATGGATGAGGAAACCATAGGGCATATACTATTTCACTGCCCTCTAAGAAACCTCCAACGAATCGATCTTTTTAACGAGATAGGAACAATAATTATTAATTGTAACTACGACATAGTAAAGGCTGATAAAATAGCTGCGATCAAAGCCATAATTAAGTTCCTAAACGATGCGAATATTATACTATAGATATGTCGCGTAAAATAAAGATATAAACATATATAAAACACGAACTACTTTAAGAGAGAAATTTATATTAGGTTGTCCAGAAAGTTCGTGCCAATTTTTAAGAAAACTTCAAAGGCACATTTGAATTGTAATATACATTTATTTATATGTATATTTATTGAATTACATAGGTACTATTTTGTTCCACACCTTTCCACCTTTTAAAGGATGTACATATATATGTTGTTTGTTTTCAGCCATTTCGACATATTCAAACCTGCACCACCTATCAAAAATCGGCATGGACTTTCCGGACAACCCAATATTTTGCTATTACATGTTTACTGCAATAGTACGGGTATCACTAAGACGTTGTCATTATTGTTATTAATTTTATAATTTTATATCGTAGAATAGAAAAAAAAAGAAAGAAAGGTTAAGACTTTCATTCCTAAAGGGGGATAGGAAAAGAGGATGCAACTCTCTACACCGAAAGCAAAAGAGTACAATTTGTAGAATAAGGAGCAAGCGAAATGAATAGATTAGGAAATTAGGATAAAATGTAGGCATTAACTGGCATAAAATCTAAAATAACACTAACGAGTAAATATATTTATTAAACAAAAAAAAAAAAAGACAAAATGTACAAATAAAACATACAAATAAAACAGTATTATTGTAAACCGTTAAACAACCAGCGTCGCGTAGAATATAAATAGAGCAAGGAGCTAGATATAAGCAAAGAACATTGTGAAAAGGAAATGTGTTTATAACAAAATAATTTGTTACACAATAAAGAGATATACAATACAATAAATAAACATGGAATGAAAATTCTTTTGTCATTCACAAGTAATTTATGTTTGTGTTCTGCGAATCTAGACAGTTGTCTGGAAGATCGAGGAAGCTGTAAGAAGGATAAATATTGCACATCGTCAAGCTGGTGTAACCCCCTAATTTTAATTCAACGACACCTGAACTTTCTCGTTGTACCGAGAAATCGGCCAGGTTTCTCGTCTCGAGCCGCCAACGTTACAAGCTGTGTGTCAATCACACTTCTTATGGCGTATTGATGAATATGCATGAACGAAATGGCCAGGATCGGTTTCACGGCAACGATATATCATGCCGTTCGATCGTGTATCGTTTCAGAGATTATTCCCGACCCGCATAAATTAAATGTGTATCCCTTAAAAAATTATAAAACAACGATTGTTTGATCGTCGTGGTTATCAAGACACTGGACATCCTTAATCCAAGAGTGAGAAAATGATAAAACTTTTGGTTGATCCGATGAATAATGAAACAAGATGAATCAAACAAGATGAATTATGAGCGTACGGGCCCATATCTGATTATAAATATATTTGTCAAGTCCTTTTAGAGACTTTGTAACCATAAATATGTCGCCAACCACTTTCATCGTTTCATCCTATATCCGCTAGTCGGAACCATCGGTAACGGTTTAAAATATCTTTATTTATTTCTTAATCAACACATGCCTCGAGCAAACTCTTACCTGGACCAGATAAGCATATTCGCTGATGTTCTTCTTAATTAAATATAACACGGATTCTGTCTCTTTACGATTTCTCTACTATTGCCGAATTTTTGTGCAGCACTATTATTATTATTAAATAATATCGAGATCTCTGTTCTTCAAGAAAGTCTGCAAGGATACCTTTTAATAAATAACAGAGTTTTAAGAGAGAATGTTGTTTATAAGGAAATTGTACAGGTAATACAATTTATTTGGAAATTCTATAAATAAAGACTTAAATTTGATGATTAAAATCCATGCATTCGATCATTTATGATTGTAATTTAAACGTGAATATTCACTCGCCATTTAGTTTTTACAACTACATGTGCTTTCTTCGCGCATTCACGAGGGGCTGAAGGACAAAAATAATAAAATTTTGGGCATCGCAAATTTGCATCAGTAGCAATGCTGTAAATATATAGTGTATAAAATAAAAAGATTTTCATAATTTTTTGATAACCAGGAATAGAATTCCTGGAATAATCGCGAATGTGTTACAATCTGTGACCGAGGGATGATTAAGACTTAAATTTGTTAAGTTGTACGTTTTCTTTGTGCATCGATAAAAATGTTCCTCACAAATAAATGGTAAAACCCTATCGACAATAATATTCCAAATAGCAAATGTTACGCATGTTTACACGGAGGCTGAGGAGAACGAACTACTCGTCACGTGGTTAAAACAGTCTGCGTTACAACGTTACAGCGCACTCGACGCGACAGACGGAGCAGCGGCCGAAGGGACCCTTCCAACTGTCCCCCGAGGCTAGCACGCGTCGCCACGTGGCCAGGTAACGAAAAAAATTAAAGAGGAACAAGAAAGGTAAAAGCCATCTTCGAGGAACAAACTTATTTCTGTGCGCGCGCGGTGGCCTCGTTTCATCCACCAATCCTCCGCTCGAACAGCAGCCAATACGTTTCGACGCTTTTTGATCCACCTCGACAAGAATTTGATTTTCGATTGCGCATCCGGATGGATTAGCCTTTCACTTTACGCCCTCCGACTCGTGCCACCCCTCGAACGAACTCACTTGCAACCGTTTGTCTTCAATCCTCCACACAGCAGTGCGTAAGATTTGTGCAATTCGTAAGCATGTAAGACACATATCTCTGAGAATTTTTTTAAAAGAAACTCTTGAGCTTTATTTTGCAAACGTTTGTCTGTCGTAATAATCCTATTTCGATGAACCTTGAGCAATTTTTCCATACAAAAATAATGAAAATTATGATAGTTCAGCATTACTACTCGGAGCTGGATTAATTGAAATATGAAATCCTAAATTTTTTTAATAATGTATTAGTTTATCAAGTCAGATTTCTGAAAAAAAAAAATAAAAACTAGGTAAAAAAAGAACACGATAAAGAATAAATATTAACCCTTAAAACAAGAGTAAAAGTTTTAAATTAAATTGACATAATAGTTTCCAATAGTTGAGTGTCTATACGTTTCAGGATTCGAGTACATCGTAATCGAGAGCTGGCTCAATTAGTTTTAAATTTTTCATCGTGCACGGTTCACAAAGTGCGTACATTCTTCGGTGTAATTTAGTAGAGAAAAGAGTACAACAGCTGTAAAAGAGAATATGTAAGGCACAATCGTTGATGGTGGGGTATCTGTCCTGTATATTGGTTCTAAAGCCATATATTAAACCCCATATAGTCTGTCACGTGATCTCCGGACGTTTTATATCGCCACTCTATATTTACTGTGGGCTATATGCATGGGAACATGTGAAAAAATATATACTCACGCGTTACTTACCCCGATCAGAATACATCCGTCGATTTTGAAGACAAATATTTCGACTACTGCATGTGTAGACAGAGAAAACTTTACCGCGGTGTATTGTCACGACAAAAGATTTCTAATACGACATTTCTAGTACATTCATTGAATGTTTCGTGTATATCTAACGAATAAGCGATCTATGAATTGAAACAATTAAAACTAAAATAATTAATATAACAAATGTTATTATAACATATGTTTATTTTTCGGTCATAAAAAGAATATTATACTTTGTGTTTGTTTTTAAATGGAACACTATACGTTTATTTAAACAAATGTATTCAATACAAAAACGAAATATTTGTTAACAACGCTGGATATTTTTCGTCAGGTTTGTTAACTTTGTTTACACACGGTCCTAGTTTGACAAACCAACGACGCCTGTGAATTCTATTTGTGATTTTCATTTGCAGCAACGAAAAAGGTGACAATGGAATGGCGAACAGATGAATAGTAGCTGTATAGACGATGTTTTAGATCCTCGTGTTAATTTCGTCAGACAACAAGGTAGGCTTGAGGGACTTAACTGTGCATTTAACAAAGCTGAATTCTGCCGTTGTGCACACACAAACCGTCGATCGAGCAACGACTCAGCAGCTTCCTCTTTGTAGTATCGTCCAATTAGTATCCCGGAAAATCGGGCGTGTCCGATCGAAGTGTGAAATTGTATTTGCCACATGGCACGCGCCAGCAGACAGATTGTTAGCGAGAAATTGGCAAAAACTTCATCTTCCAAAAAGGGAAAAATTCGATTCCATCGTTTACGTTCGTATGTCCATCTTTCTTGTCTGTAAAATTCACTTCGAGCAGAGATGGAATTATTCATAATAATCTATCGTCATGTAGCAAGTTATTGGAATAACGATATATATATTTTTTTTTTTTCGTAGCTTTATGAATTTTTTATGAATATTTATGAATATTTTTATCAATATTTTATATGTATTCTTTACTGCTCACTTTGGGAGTTATCGCACCACCCTCTTTCCTTACTCTACCTTAATTCTACCTTTAATTCTATCTTCTCTCCAACGCTCTAATTTTCCTTGTTCTACCTCTATCCACTCCTCTTCTATCCTCCTCGCCCCGCTTCTTTCTTTTTTCCTCCCTCCTTCTACCTCTACATTCACTCAATCATTCATTCTCCCTTCCTCCTTTACCAACGTCTCATTATCCCCTCTCTCCTCTTCTCCTCCTTTCTCCCTACCGTTTAACCTTTCTATGCACCTCATCCATCCCTCCATCTCTCTTGCATCCCCTAGTATCTTAGCAACACTTTCCTGCCACCCACCTTTTTGATACACCCTCTATTGTCTACATCCGCCCTCCAAAAACATGCTGTCCACCTCTTTTTCTCCTCTGCCTTCGATTTCTGCTTGTGAAAAAAAGTCAGAGTTAACTTTCTCATTCCTCTCATTCATCCCTCTCTCTCTTCTTCATCCCCTAGTATCTTAGCAACACTTTCCTGCCATCCACCTTCTTGATCCACCCTCTACTGTCTACATCCCCCACCCCTCCAAAAACATGCTTTCACCCCCTTTTCTCCTCTACCTCCAATTATCTCACCTCCTTCCCCATTCGGAACCGTGCCAACATATCTTTGTATCATATTGCATATCTAAACAATTTAAAATTTGACAAGCTCTCGTACAATTTCATGTTCCAATTAATCTTGGAAGTACAAGCACGCGGCGACGTACGATTGCGTTGCAACGATTAAAAAAATCGCAGGGGCCAACCGACGGTTCCGCGGTAGCGTGGCGAAACGACCAGGTTGGATTACCGATTTACAATTAACTTCGACCCTCCGTGAGCCCCGATATCTGGCCGTGTGCCGAAAGCCTGGCCTTCGCTCGTTTCTCTCTGTCAGAGAGCCCTCCGCGCCGATTTCCGCTCGTCGGAAACGTCATGTGGCCCATTAATTGGACCGCCACGAGATAAAGGAAGATACATTTTCGATGTTCTCGCTCGAAAGTCTGCGAGCGACCCCCTATTAAAACCTAAACTCGTACGATAATCGTAATACGCCCAAGCGCCCAAGCTTTACTCATTTTGTAAAGGTATAACAAGATTAGATTTACGATTTCGGTATAGCAGGGCGTTTTACTTTTAGAATCCTTTTTATAATAAAATACGCCTGTTCTATAATCGTGGTGATCACGTTAATGCAAGTACATTATATAAATTTTGATGTTTGATTTGAAAACAAAATTTTAAAGCCACTTTCCTAGAGACATATTAAAATAAAATATTTCTCTGTGAAGGATTAAAAATATACCTCATTTATAATGGAATTTACATGGAATCTTTAAGAGATTAAAATCATACAAGACACTGTTCTCCAAAAAATTAATTATTGGGCCATGTTAATCTAGAAGAATGTATGCAATACACATACACTAAAAACCCTGTAGAATTAAATTTGTATACAACCCTTTTATCCCTCTATACAACCGATTTATAAATTTATATCGAATCCCTAAAGGATCGAAAGGATTCTTCAAGAACTTAATTGATGAGTTATGTTAATGAAGAAGGAGGCGCCGATATGCGTTAAGTTCGATACGTTTCAATTATTCAAGTGGGACGCACGGTGTCCCGCTGGCCGCGAAAGGATTAAAGCAACCCCGTTACTCCTAGCCTTTTTTGATGTTCGAGCAACGGTGACTCGAAGAAACATCTCGTCGGATAATACTCGTGGCATGCTGTGGACCACTGTGTATGTGTGCTGCGTTGAATTCCATGCTCGTCGGGGCCCGATACAAATAATTACGGCCCCGGGTTATCCAAGGCGAGGATGAGTTTTTTGCGGACGCGGATAAAACGGCAGCCTGAATAAGAAGCGCCGAAATGCGCAGGCCGCTTTCTTTGTGGGCATAGTGCGCGTTCCACGGTGCTTAACGAAAAAGGAAGAGAATTCCCGTGGCGTGCTCGGTGTACTCGGATTTCATGGTGCCAATGTAGAAGACAGAGAAAGTCTTATTCCCGACGTCGATGGCGAGAACGTGGTGACAAATTAAAATGAGTAAGAGAGGCAGGTGGTGGTATCTCGGTACTTCGTTTAAAGTTATGTATGCCGAGCCAGTTTTCGGTACCATATGCTGCCAGAAGAGACATCGCAATTCGCAGGACTGCAAAACACGCCGCGTAAAACACTGTGCCGTTTATTAATCAGCCCTTGTAAACACAATAAGCCGCCACTGGGACCTTTCCAAGCGTTTTCCTTTCGCGAGAATCTCGTCCAGGCAAGAAAACAGTATACTGCCAGCGTCGTTTCAACCCTGAGATGAATATCGTTGAGTTTCACTTTTTTGGGGGGGAGGGGGGAGGGGGCAATTAATAAACTTGAACTTAAATGTTATCAGACTCGCTTCGATGAATTTAACTTCAGTTCGTGTATTTTTTTCAAAATTTCTATTCTCATATTAGTTGCCAAAAAAAAGTATTTAATTTTTTAAGGGGTGATTTTGCTAACAACTTCTTGAACTATATTTATCAACAAGATTAAGTAAAAATGCTAGAAAAGTATAATTAGTGGAGCAGGTTTAAATAAAAATAAAAATAGAATTCCTAGATAAAAAAACAGGGCACCCTACTTCAACGACCACGATACGATCTCTACTTCCAATCGCCTATTAACTCTTAACAACTCAACTTGGAAAATTTGCTTATTCTTCATAAGATTATAAAGCAAAGCAATCATTGCGTTTCTCGCCTGCAAGCGTTGGGTAAAAATTATTCGATTTCGTGATAACAAAGGGTGAATCACCTCCCATAGCCAGGGGACGTATAATCGATCAGATGCAAACGTAACATAAGTAACGCGATACGCTACGTTAGCTCCGCACACGAAAAGTTTATTACTTAATAAATATTTTATTTATATTCGTACGTCTCCAGAGCAAATTCGCATCGTGGTACTTAAAATTCGGAAAATTAATTTTGAAATTACTTACCGGACGGTTAAACGCGAACGCAAATCTTCCCGGTTCGCGGCTTTAAAAACGACCAGTTTCATATTCTTGACACTTTATCGATAAAAAAAGAACAGATAAATACAAAGTACTTACATCGTAGCTGCATCATAAATTGTAGCAACTCCATAAACGGAGAGAGCGGATATATTTACCGGTGCTACTTACTTATGTGTTAAGTGAAGATTACGATAACCAGTCCGTTCAATAATTTACAAAAGCATGGCGGAGCCTACACGTGCAAGACGGTCTCGGGACGGAGATCGTTTAAGAGAAAATTTTTTAAAAAAACCGCATGCGCGACACAGCTTACAGATGCAGCACCGGAAAGATTACGAACGCTCGTGATACTCGTATCAAGGAGGTTAATTGCCAAATATTGAAAGTTGAGAGACTCATTTTCGACATAATAGTTCTCGCTTTTATTATGGATGAATGGAAATTTGCGGGAGAGGGCCGCGATGAAGGCAGTAGTTGAAATTTGGGAACGATAAGATTGTCGTACGGAGAGAAATATTGTCAATCGATTTGAGAAACGGGTTCGAGCCATTCGCTTGATATGCTTCGACATTGTAACATCGAAAATATTCTGGAATATTACTACATCAGGAGGAAGCGTACAATGCTTTCTGAATTTTACTTTACATCAATTTCAGGTTTTTCTTTCTCAAACTAAATTGTATTTTAAATATTCATTATTCGCGATGCTCTCTCTCTTTGCAAATTACTTAACATGCTTTCAAGTACCATAGTCCTCTTGAGCTTAAAAAATATATTTACCATATTTTTTAATGTACCATATATAAGTATATACGATACATAAATGTAATTTTTGAAATTAGTTTGTTCTTATTCTATTATGACTGTGTTATTTTTTAACGTACTTCTAATTAGTTATACTTTATCAAGAATATGAAAGGAAATTTTCAATTTCTGTGAGTTTAAAAAAAAAAAGGAAACGATTGAATTCAGAAGCATATGGCGAAAGAAACAGGAGAAATGTAGATTCCATTAATATTCAACCGCAATTTAACTTGAAATCATTATGACAGTTCTGAATGCTTCCCGTTTGTTATCATGTGAATACTGAATATTATTAAAAATCGAAAATTATGGTACATTTCCAACGCCATCGTATGCCCGCTTAACGTAAAGTTTCTCAGTACGAGTGAATATATTATTTATTTATTGCCATCACTAACGGAACACCTGATTGAAAGATAATTATCATAAAAATAATCTTAAAAATAAATTTGAAATAAAAATAATAATCGAAATTATTGCTAGATATTAAATTAATAAATATCGAGTGAAAGAAGAAGAGGAAAAAGAAAAAAATGAGTAAAGTCTTCGAAATCTACTTAATTTACTTAATATTCAGGCGTAATTTCACTTGAATTCATTGCGTCAATTCTGAATACTAATTGTACGCCAATAAAAATGTTGTAATAAATTTTGTGTAAATTAATTAAAAGTAATAAAACACCTTGCCAGTTTGGTAAGATAAAATAATTAAGATAAGAATATATAATGAAGGCAAATCTGACCAACGTTTGGAGTTTATAATAATTGAAACTATTGCTATGTATTAGATTGATAAAAATCGAGTGAAAGAAGGGAAAAGAGAGGAACCGAATAGTATAAGGAGTCAGATAAATCAGAAGGAGAGGCAAAACAGGGGATCAGCGATGCGTGACCCCCCTGGGAAGGGTCAAGTAGCGGAAGTGGAGTTCGAGCCACGAACCCCTAAATAGTAATGGGTCGCGGGGATGAGCTACAAATTAACCAGCCGTCCATTTCAACTGACATCCCTCGATATAGGCATCATCGACATGGATCATCCTTCCGCGTGTGGATGCATCGTCACCATATGCCATTCAGGTAGAGACTCAGGGTGTGTGCCAATATCGGAAAAACGTGCCTGCAGAGGAGGGTAGCATTTGACGCGTTTCCACAGTCCAGTAGGGTGTCCCACTATTCTAAATCCTGAATTGATATCTAGTACAAGGACAGATTAGACACTACTTCTTTATCAAAAAGAAATACAAGAGTTAGGAATGAAATAAATAAGTGTAATTACTCATTAATTTTACAAGTAAGTAGGACCTCACAAGTCTTATGAATTAATATCTAGTACAAGGACAGGTAAGACACTACTTCTTTATCAAAAAGAAATACAAGAGTTAGGAATGAAATAAATAAGTGTAATTACTCATTTATTTTACAAGTAAGTAGGACCTCACTATACTTTTATGTCGATTATACAAACA